TATAGAGGTATTTTGTTTATTTATTTATTATAAAAATTGTGGTTAAAAATAGTTCTCATATGATTCAATACTTGGTGTGTTTTGGTTGATGAATGATAATAAGTTTTTTTTTTCTAAAATATATAGTCATATTTTATTTTTAATATCTAAAAAATTGATTGATTTTTTTTATATCCTGTCCTTTTTTGTTTCATTTTGATCCTTGTTATTTTTTTTCGTGTAATTTATTTGTCCTTGCAATATGTATACTTGCTTTTAGTATTTATCATATTTTTCAAAGGAATTCAAAATGAAAAAAAAAGGATTAAAATCAAATAAAAAATCACAAGAACCAATTTTTTTAACCTAAAATATGATAATGTTGTAGAGATAAAATTATATACATAAATTATAATAATATTGAACTTAACGTAACTAGTCTCTGAAGTTTCATACCATAATAAGTGTATAAAAATATTTATTAAAAGAGGTGAACAACTTGGTTAATTCTTAACACTTTGATAATGAATTATTTTGTTCAAGTTAAAAGCAAATTGTTGTGTAATTGTTATTTACAGATTCATTATAAGTATTTATTAGATAATTTATTCTTCTTCTTATACAATTAATGTGTATGTTTAAATAATTGTTATTCTAGTTCACGGTAAAAAAAGTTAAACTTTTTTTTTTTTACTTATTATTTTGTTGGTCTTTCGTAACGAGTCAAAATATCATTTTTCTAGTTTGATAGACTTTATTAAAGATGTGAATTAAAAGTTTCATATATTTATTTCACAATCTTCATTATTTATATATAAAAATAGGTTTGAATATTTCAATGGTAATAATAAATAAAAAAAGTACTAGAATGATGCATAACTCAACTGCAATAGATGGTAGTTTAAACTAATTTAGGAAATGATTTGATTAAGTGTTCCTGAAAACTTTTCCAACAAGATTGAATAACTATTGTTATATATCTCCCAACAATAATAAAAATCTCCAACTAAAACATTTGAACTGTTGTTTTAAGTGGTCACAAAAGTGTTACCTTAAAAAAGGGTTTTTATATGTACAATCTAAGCCAAAGTGAAAATTTGATTACTTATAAGAAAACATACCAATCATACACTTGGTAAAAACATATAATTTTAAGAATGATTTTTTACGTGACTAGTTGATGCATATTTTCTATTAGGAGTGTGTGTGAAGGGTTTTTGCTTCAAATGCAATAGGGTATCCTTCTTTTACGGGGTTATGTCAATGTGAAGCCAGGACAATTTTGGTGCACCAAAGCTGTATCTATGGAGGGGTCTTTTTCCTTCTTTTTCTTATTTTTACCCTCTTTTTCCCTTCCATTATATCTTGGTGAGGTCCTTGTAAAATGCTCATTGTTCTTCTTCTTCACTACATCTTTATCCTCTAAGCTCAATCATACGAAGACTTGTCAAAACCAAAAATAATAAAAATTCTCAAAACATGCCACTTTCGCATATAAAATCAATCTCCCAAATTTGTCAAGAAGCTTGTTGTTTAAGAATAGAAGAATAGTTCATTGTGACTATCAAACCATGCAATGATTGATAAGCTAGAAAATGAAAAAATGGAAAATAAAATAAAAACCAAAGTAGGTTTTATATATGTGGTGGGTTTGTACATATATAGCACTCAATTAATCTTGCTTCAATAGTTTTTCTTTCCCTTTTCCTCTCTTTTATGATTTGAATTTTATATTTGGTAAGGACCTCTAGCATACCATATATGTTTTGTTATTTTGGCAATTCCATATGCATTATTGATTGCATCCCAATACCAAAGAGCCTACACTCTACTTTTGTTTTTGTTTGTATGTTAAACATGTCTATACTATATGTTCAAATGTTAATTTTTAATATGTGCTACTACTATACCCATTTATAATCAAGGAATAGTTTTTTTTTTTCACTATATAGAAACTCATATTTCTATGTACTAAAAAAGATATATAGGAGGTATATAATATATCATTTGCGGTTAATCTTTTAATGAAGCACATCTATCTTTTTTTTTTTCTTTTGATAAAAAGTACTACTCTCCCTTCATAAAAAAACCTTTTTAAAAAAAAAAAAAATTTTGTCACTTTTTAATTACAAGTTATTCACATATTGTCTATTTCATAACTTTTTTTTTTCATCAAAATGTAATTTCCTTGAAATTTTTATAGTCAATAAATAATACTATAAACACTATAAAATTATATAAAAAAATACTGATTAAATACATGAAATTTATTGCTTGAAAAAGAGGAAATAATAAATTCCAACAATCTTAGGAGTAATTTTGACAAAATAGCACAAACTGTTTAACAAGTTTAATATTATTAGCTACACTGTAAACTAATCAGTTAAGAGAGTTTATATAAACATGAAGGAAATCTCTATTTTTCTAAAATAAAATCGAAACTTTTAACATTTAACACATTTTTTTTTTGTAAAAATATGAAATACCCCCACCATGTATGTATATGAAATGATGATTTCTGAAGTAGTGTCAAGCATCAAAAGTAGAACCCCCACTAACAGTATATTTTTTTTTTCTTTTTTCATACTTAGCCATGCTTTTAAATTACGAACTACAACTTCAATTGTAGTTGCATTACTGAGATTTTTGAGTTTGCACATTAGTTTTAAGCCTACAACTACCATGGCACAGGTTTGTAATTTCCTCTAATTTAGTCAATCACAACACAGTTAAATCTGCAATATAAATCCACACACTTATGACAGAGCAATGCTTCATAAAATCATCATAGTATGAGAACAAACTCTTCCACTGAGTACATGTTCGGAACTGTTTTAAACCTACTTTGACAATGAATTTTGAAAAGGAAAAACATTTCTTGAGTTACAGAACTCAAATATAACATGATAATTAACCCTCAATTTTTTTTTCATTTCCTAATTTATCCGTACAAGAATGGGAAGAATCAGTTGGTTGATATAACAAAAAGGGTTTGAAAATCGAACTCAACCCACCCACTAGAAGACTTAATGTGAAGGGAGCCAGGCAACTTACACTAGGTCCCCTCAGCCAGTGAGACACTGCAACCTTCCACTTTCATAATAATTGTACAGCAATTTTGTGCACCAGCAGGTAATAGTGGAGACTGATATGTATGCTGAGGCTAGCAAGCAATTACATAATCGCAGGAGAAGAAGAAGCACGTGGTCCAAGGGGAAAAGGAAAAAGCTACACTACCAGAACAAAATAAACAAATTAATACACCACCCTTTAAGCTAGCTTCATGACTTTGGCTTTTCAACATCTTTTTGTATCGGTTCTAGTAACAAATATATATATATATATATATATATATATATATATATATATATATATATATATATATACTGACATGTATATATATATAGCATAGCATCATATCTTGCAGATCCACAACACACTGCTAGCTCGAATCTGTTAACTCAGTTTATGGTTCACAGATAATCATACTTAATAAATTAATATATATGATTAAAGATGTATTTGTCAAGTTTGTATAAAATAATTTCCTTTAAGAAAAGTCAACTTTTTAAAGAAATCTTAATAATACTAGATTGCGTGCATTGAGATGGCGATAATGTGATATAGATAACCTGTAACCATGTTTCTATAAAATATATAAACAAAAGTTAACGAAGTGTAAGAATTAATATCTGTTGAAAAAAAGATAAACTTATTAAAGGACCTCACTAGTTTGAAATTTTTGACAGTTATGGGGATATGCTGGGTTACAAAGAACTGGAGTGTATGTGAATGTGACACAATGTGTTGTCTTTTTAAGTTTTTTTGGTTTTGGAATTTTTTTGGGTTGGTTATATTTTGACAGCATAGGCAATTGCTTTGAAAGTGGGAAGGGTTTGAATGGTCTCTGCATATATGGAAAGATGCTGGTGGTTCTGGTTCTGCCTTAATTCTGCTGTGCTGCGCCCACTTGGCTCTGATTCTTATGCAAGAGACGTGAAGGTGATCATCATGAATAGAGTTTGTTTGTGTCTGTGTGCCTTTGAGAGGGACGACTGAGTCCCTGCACTGTCATTAACCCCTTACAACAGTGGCACTGAAAAACATGCAAGCTGCTTTTCATTCACATTTATAAGTCGCCAGAATAGTTGCACAGCCCAAAAGGAAGGACACTCTCTCTCTCTCTCTCTATATGGATATATATGTATGCATGTTATGTATGAGTGAGAGTGAGCATTGAGCAATGACTATGACACTGCCCTTGTATTCATTTTCTCTCTGAAGCATTTGGTCTCCCTTTTTATTTTTGTCAGTACACTTCTTTAATGCTCATCAAACAGTGTTCTCCGTTTTCTGCCCTACCCAACAAAGATCTACACATAGTCCAAACACAAAATCCAAAACAACCAAAACTTTAGGGTAGGAAATTTTCAGTGTTCGCCCTGACCCCGTATTCATTGCAATGCTGCAAGCAAAGCAAGAAAACCTATAATAACCACTACGTATATGTATATTATTACACACACAGCCTATATATATTTTATAAGTACAATGTGTGTATATATACAATTATATATATGTTATATGTACATTATTATACCTACGCACGCACACGCCACAATCATTACGCCACGGAAGATATTAAATAGTAATTAATAGCTAAAAAAATAAAAATAGAAACATAATCATGTAATTAAACCAGCGTGAAACCCTTTTATCATAGTCTGCATTTATACCAAATTTAATTAACAAATAACATGGCACAATAAACTGCAAGTTACACGAAGAATTACACTCTTTAATTTCTCCATCCCGTGCACTATTATAATCCCACTTACATAATCAACATCACTCACCTTCACTTCACTTGGTATACCAATTCACAAAGATATTGGCGTTGCATTGAAAAAAAGGGTATTAAGTATTAACCCATAAAGGAGGACATAGAAAAATAAAATACAGAATAAAGTTTAGAGAGAAAGTTGATGTTGGTGAAGATGATTATCTCTCTCTAAGTAGAGTTAGTTCTCTTTGCCATGACCTTTTCCATTATCGTTTTCTACTTCTCCTCCTTCTGTGGTTATAGCAGAAGACACGTAGCTCAACACCAAGGAATTCTCGTCGGGGGTTGCATTTCGAGCTTGGAATTGTTGCTTGCAAGCGTGGCAAGTGATTTGGAGCATGGTGGAGTTGATTTGCTTCATTGCATGTTCTTTCAAGGCGTAGGCCTTGTCGAGTTCGGCATGTGCTTGTTGTCTTATCCTCTTGGCGTTTGTGAACTCTTGTTCCGCAAGTTCAATCTGCCTCTTGGCTTGTTTCCTTGCTTCCTCAGCATATGCTTTGTCAGCCATGGCAATCCTCAAGTGTTCCCTTGCTTGCTCTTGAACCCTCAACAAGGCCATGCTGGACTGCTTCTCATTGTTGCTGTTGCTGCTCTTCTCTGATGAGTTCCTGTTCGATTCATTTTTCTCACTCACATCTGATGACCCAATTGAGAGTTGCAAATGGGTTGAATGGTTCTCATGATGATCCCTCTTAGGTGATAGTGAGGTGGATATTGCAGCATCAATGGGGTTTCCAACATTTGATGTGTTGTTGTTGTTGGTGGTGGTGGGAGTTGAGAGTTGGAGATCCAAGTTGGGATGGAGTTTGTTGTTCTTGGATGAGGTTTCAGCAGTGGTGATAGCAGCAGTAGGGTTATTCATGAAAATTGTGGGTGGTTCTGTTGGCTTTGGTATTATCATTCTTGTTGGCCAAGGAGTTGTGCTGAAATTGGTTTCGCTTGAAGGACTTGGGCTTGAGGCTGTTCTAGAAAGGCATGCAGATGGTTGAAGTGGCTGAGATTCTGGCCTGAGCCTCCCCATGTTGCAAGCATCTTGGTGCTCAATGAAACTCTCCACCCTATGAGATGAGAAAGAATATATACAACCATTTGTTAGTGTTGCTATTAGCATTGAACCACTCAAAAGGGTTTTGCCTAATGATTCTTGTTTGTGGGTGTGAAATGAGCATTATATAGAGTTATAGAAAAAACATGCAAAGGAAGAAAGAAAAGGAGACAAAGGAAAAAGTGGACATAAAGGTGGTTGAAAAAGGTCTTTAAGAATTGTGGGGAAAGAGGTTCCAGCTTCCACTAAATAAAGGACAAAAGAAAGTCAAGAATTCATGCCATTTCTTAGATTTATGATGCAGTGTAGTGATTGAAGAAAATGCAACATGTTAATGGCATGAATGATACACAAAACACAAAAGATGCTTCAAGGTGTTGGAATGCAATTGTAGAAGGATTTTGAAGCCAACACACAACAGCTATTATGTATGCGACCAACGGAAAAACGGAGCATTGGAAACCGTGTTACCCCAACTGTCAATGAACAGTGGTAGCTCGTGTAAAATAAATAAAAATTTGGATTGAGGTTCCATCAGTCAAATATTTTCTTTTCTTTTCTTTTCTTTTTAATTATCAACCTTTAGTTTTTCCACCCCCGTTGTTCACTTTACATTCCATTCCAAAAAATATATTTCACTTTTTTCAAGTCAAATCCCAAGTAAAACAAGAACCCTCGCAAGTTCTGCTCATTTGATACATAATCACGAGATTCAAAAATGGTGAAAGTAGAAAACAAAAAGAAACCTTGTGTAGCACATGAAATAGCTAGAGAGAGAGAGAGAGAGAGAGATTGAGGAGAAAGGGCAATCAAAATTAATCCCACCACCCCAATTTTAATAGTCATAGATAGATCCATTTTTTCTTTCACATATTAATTATCAAATTGTGAAAACCATTTTGTGAATTATGCAAAGCAAAACAAATAAAACAAATGTTGATATATGAGACACATACATTTGATAATGAATCAGTAAGATAACTTAATGATAAGCATAAACCAACCTTGAGAAAACGCGGCCACAATCACAGGAGTGGCCCCGGGTGCCACACGTTTTGAGATGTGCTTTGTAATCAGACTGCACTGCATAGCCTTTGGAGCATCTTTCACAGACCCATTGCTTGTGATTGCTGTGCTTCCTCCTGAAATGCTTCTTTATCCCAACAAGATCACCCAAGGCATGACAAGGGTCATGGTGCAAGCAAGTTGGTTCAGGACACACAAACACTCTCTTTCTCACCACTGGTGTCTCCCTCTTCAACAGCTTCCATGGCACCTTGTGCCTCCTCCTATGCATCTGAAGGTTCTGGTCCCTCTGGAACCCCTGGTTGCAGATCTCACACACATAACGATCCGATTCCAACAAAGTCTTTGGCGAGAGGGACACCACCTCTGCATCTGGATCTGCATATATGCAACAAACCATGATCAATTACCATCAGGTATAAAATATATCAGATATATATATATATATATATATATATATATATATATATATATATATATATATATATATATATATATCTTCTTTCAGAGAGACAGATATCAAGGAAACTGTTAGTATTCACACAATCAACTATATTACTCAAAACATCAAAATAGTTTGGATTTGGTGTTATTTGAAAAGAAACAAATATATAATATATTCTTCGAATGGAAGGTTTTGGTTTTCATGAAATTGATAAAAGTGAATAAAGTGAAGAGTGAGGGACTAGATTTGATGGCAAAAATGGATGATAATTGTGCACCTGGTGTTCCTGCGGGCCTTCTCTTCCTTTTATTGGTGGCAGTGCCATTTTCAGTGCAGGGAAAAGGCTCAGAAGTGGGAACTGACGATGGAGATAAGTTATTGGCTAACATGGTACACTCTATGGGAAGTGCTTTGATGATGTGGTTATAATATGTTGTATATATGATAATAAGGCCTAAGAAGAGAAGCAAGGAGTGGCTATGTTTGTGTCTGAGGCTATGTTGGTGATAGAATTAAGTAAGATGGAAGAAGAGAAAGAAGAGATCATTGGGGTGAGTAGAGAGAGAATAGAAGAGAGAGAGAGAGAGAGAGAGAGAGAGAGAGAGAGAGAGAGAGAGAGAGAGAGAGATGAAACAGGTACAGAAGGTCTAGGAGGAGGACATAGATAGAGGAAGAGAGAAGGGAAAATAAAAGGGTCTTTTTCTTTTTTTCTTCTTCCTTTCGGTTTCCTCAGCTTTCTTTTAACTTGCTTTTAAACTTTCAGCTTTTGCATCAGCTTTCTTTCTTTCTTTCTTTCTATGTGAATGCTTTTTATTTCTCTCTCTCTGGGTTCCTCTCTTCCTTTCTTTCCTTGCTTCCAACCCTCATCTTCAGCAGGGATTGTCTGTAATAGCCCTCCTTAATAAACTTTCAAAAAGAGAGTGTGTGTGAGACCCAATCACAATGCTCGAAACTTGATCCCACAAGCAGCTCAATGGGCTCCATTAGAGAAAAAGAAATATCCCCACAAGGAAACAAAACCCTCATAATTTCCTCACACAGTAAATTTTTTTGCTTTGCATGCATAAATACAGGCCAAGCCCCCCAATACACACGTAAGCTTCCTATTCTGTCACTCTCCCTCTCTCTCTCTCTCACATCACACACACATTGTAATCCCTGTTATATAATTATTACCCTAATTTAATAATGATTTTTCAGTTTTTTATATATATAGTGTGTTCAAGAAGTGAAGATCAGCAACATTTATATATATATATATATATATATATATATATATATATATATATATAAAACTTAAAATCAATTACTTCATAATCATGCAACTTGTGAATTTGTACATATAAGTTTCAATTAATGATAAACATTAAATAAGAATAGAAATTTTCATTGCATGTAAAAAATTGTTAAACAACAAAACAATTAGTTAAAAATCAGAGGATACCCATAATGCTAAAAAAAATAAAATTATTAACAGAAAAACGTATTTGTAAATTTTAGAAATTGTTAGTATAAATTTGTGTTTCTCACAACTACATTTCTTGACTAATTCATTGATGTATTTGTAGTAGCATAAATGAAGGTTGTTGTGTGAATTAAAGTTATGAATATATATATCATTTATGTGTAAGCTTTTTTTGTCACAGTGCCAACTCATTGAGATATAAATTATGAGAATTTAATATGTTGATCCTTAATTGAGACGAAGATGGAGGGAGAAGAAGATGCAGATATATATGTATGTTTTATAGACGATAGTACCCATACTCGTAAGTGTGCAGGAACTCTAATTAATTTCACTGGAACAGCTTTTATAAAGGTGATAATGAAGATGTGAAGTCACCTTCAAGGGGCAATGTAGTCAATGGGGGTCATAATTTTTTCTGCTCAAGATGCTTTGCTTTTTGGTAAAATGGGAGCATCAACTTAACAGTCCCGGGTTAAATTTGGCAACATTCTCTCTTCTACCTCATCACCTTCTTCACATTTTCAACCCTCTTCAAAATTCAAACCCACTATAAAATATCCATTATAATAAATAATGATTAATAAAATTATCATAACATCTCATATTTCATCAGTTTATTATTAATTAAGAGAAATGTGAAGAAGAATTTATATGCAGAATCTTTATTAATTGATTTTGAGTTAAAATTTAATATTAGTTAAATTTATCTTAATTAACTTCAAAAACATATATTACTTTGATGTGTATATGTGGTGTATATTTTATATACATTATGCCAAAACGATAGTTGTACAATCATTATATTTAAATACACTAACCTTTCAACTGTGCCTTCATCATATTCATATAAGAACGTGTTGAGTTTGATCCAAATGAAGCCAAATGCATACATTTTGAGTAGCTTTTCTTGAAGGTTGAAATTAACTTTAATTTTACGCCAACCAAAGTTGCTAGTGATTTTGTTCAAAAACAAAAATGCTTTGTGCTTGTGTTCCTGCATACATATATGATCATAGTATATATTTAATATAGAAAAAAAAAACTACAATTTGTTTCAAATTTCATCACAAGTGTAAAAAAAAAAAAAAAAAAAAAAACTTCTTCAAGCAATATATGAAGTAATTTCACATTTTTTTATCTTCAAATTTGATTCCAAACATAAAAGATTTAATAGTGGCTAAGCTAGAATAGATATTATAAAAAAATTATCATGATAACATTCTAGTTATATATAATTCCTAGTGTTTATAATAAAAAAATTACTTAGTTTTTATTAAAGAAAGGTGGTTAATTATGCAAAGAAAAATAATGCCAATAATACAAAATGAATTTTGTGGATAATATATTTGTAGTGACATTATGTTGAAGTTTTCTTGAAATCTAAGCAATGGCATGAACAGTGAGAAATATGGAGAAAATGGAAACCCCAATTAATGCCATTATTGTAAGTACTAGAAAGACTAAAACTTTTGCATTGTATGTATTATATATTAAAAAATGGTGAAATGTATTTGTGGAGAAAAAAGCTTGAAGATGAAGAAGGAGTTGCCTTTGTTGTCTCATTGGAGAAATTTCTATTACATCACTGTTACCTTTTTACCTTGTTTGTCCCATTGGGAAAATAAACTCCAAAATATTTGTTTGCATATTGTGGGAAAATCAATGGAAGTCCCAGAAACAAAAGAGGTTAATTAATAGCCGCCAAGATTAAATTTTTAACTCAGAAATAATTGTTGCAATGAAGTTTGTGTTTGTTGCATACATTCACCAACATTCGTGTGAATATATCTGACACCATGTGCATTGCTCAAGAGCTCCCTCTTCTTAATCTCAAGAACCCCACTTTTCAATCATCCTCAGAACACAAGAAAGAAACACAAATCAAGAACAAAATCATTAAATAAAGTACATTTAATTTAGGGCCATTACAAAACAAAACAAAACAAAACAATTTTATTTCATTTCTGTAATGAGTACAGTGTGGGATTCAACACTTTAAAAAAAATATATATATAGTAACATTTTTAACATTTATGTTTATATATATATATATATATATATATATATATATATATATATATATATATATATATATATATATATATATATATATATACTCTAAATTATGACGATTATGTTATGTCGCAAAGCATCATTTATGTGAAATAAAACAAGTATAATATGCGTCGACGGCGCAACCCAATGATTCATATACATATTGGTGTGTTTTATATGAACAACAAAACAACATAATAAAATAAAATAAAATGCATATGCTTTTTGATATAAAAAAATAGAAAGATATTATGCCTCGTGAATTAGGGCAACTTTCGGAAAACAATTTGAAAGCTTACATACGAAATAATTCGAAAAATTGGTTATTTTTTTTAAGATAGACCAAAGGTGGTTTAATTAATGAAGTAGAGTTTTATAAAACTTTTCTCTGTTTAAACAAAAAATTTCCCTCACATTTTGATTTCCTTTATTTTAGTTTAAATAAATGAGATAAAGAAAAAGAAAATAGTACAAACTTTTATTTATATATATATAACTTACATTCGACTTATATTTCTTTTTCTTTAAAACTTATTTTGATTTTTTTCATAACTTTATCATGATGAATTAAAAAGATTAAAGTGAATATAAATTATTTTATATCACTCAATCTAATTTTAAAATTGTTTTCAATCCTAAAATAAATATTCTTATTGTAGAGTATATTTAAAAAAGATGAAAAAAAATTAGAAATTTCTAAACTGAAATTCATTATTTTTAGGAATGAAAAGTAAAAATTTTAAATTTTAAAAGATATAAATAATTTTGTTTTACATTAAAAAAATGGAAAGTTGTTAACTTTAACTAGACAACTAACAATAATAAATTGAAGTATAGAAAATATAATTTAAAATGATTTAGAGATTTTTTTTACTAAAGTGAAAAAAACTATAAAAATATAGATAAATTTAAAAATGGAAATATATAATATGAAGGGTCATTTTCATTGAACTAATAATTTTATACCTTTTTTTTCATCCTAAAACGCAGAGAACAAAAAATGAACTAAAATACTGAATAGTGAATGACCAAATTCTACTTTTGTCCTATCCTTCTACCAAGTACGCATAGCCCAGTCTATTTTCAATTATTAATTATGAATGTTTGAATTTTCTTTTCCCATTATGAAAGAATCTGTATGCTATTTCCTATCCCAATATTTTATTCATTTAAACCTGTATTATTTGTGTTGGAAATTTTGTTTCAGTTCTCTGACAAAAAATTATTCTTGTTTAATAATTGACATAAAAATTGTATTTTTAAAGTGATTTGAATATATACCACTAGTGTATTGTGTCTTGACTCAAGTTAAAAAAGTGATTCTGAAAAGGTGGGAGAGGAGAAACTTGGTAGAGTAGAGAGTAGATTAAGGATAGATTATGGTGAGGATGAACGTGTAGAAATGATTAGTCACGTTTTGTGAAAGTGATTTTGCAGCTTTTAACGTAGGAAAGGATTTGATGTTGTTAAGGAGAAGGTGCAGGAGAGTGTTGAATGTGTTATTTAATGAAATTAGAGTATTTAAAAGGACAAGTTGTGAAGGGAAAAGCAGGGGAAGATGAATGAATGGATGAGGGTGAATGGACGGTGGTGATGGGGCAGTGGAGGGAGGTTAGAGTGGATCTGATCGAAGAGGATGAAATGAAAAAAAAAAAGGAGTGGGAAGCCAAAAAATAAGGGCTTGTGTTCTGTTTGGTGGCTGCCGGGGCCAAAAGCAGTGGGTCCCTTTCCTTCTTCCTTCTCTCACTCTTTATTTCACCATCATTTTTACTATTTTTTCTCTCTTCTTCTCATCATTATCTCTTTCTTATTTACTATTTATCACCTAACAACATCCTCAACAAAATAACTTTTAAATATATAAAA